ATATATATGTACTATGTATGTAATACACAAATATATATAATACGTATATACACAAATTTGAATTTGAAAACTGGGCTTTTTATTCAAATTATTCTGAATAATTAGGGACATAAAGAGTAAAAACACTTAAATTCTCTAAACATGAAAACTAGTTGAATAAGATAGGGTTCTGGGTAAGCATTTATAACTTAATTTAAACCAAAATTAGCATTGTTTTATCACTTAGGAATATACTACATGAATTTTTAGATATTAGAAACCATTAAAAATAGCTAAGTATAAAAGAGTTTAAGGAACAAAAAATTGAGAGAAATGTTCAGTTACTTGTGGGTACTTGATTGTCAATTAATTGAAGAGGAGTCTCACCCAGCATCTCTGAAGTCCACATGAATGAGTCCTTCAGATGAAGTTGGTTCATGAGACTCTTAAAGTTCATCTCCTTGAATTTGGCAGTACAGGAGTAGGTTGGAAGTATCTGGATACAGCCTTCACTCTCCAGCTGAATGCAGTGTTTGATGTGATGGTTCTTTTCTCAGTTGATGAAATCCTCTGAAGTTCTTTATCCTTTAAGGAATATTCTGCAACTAATTTTGAATTTTTAGTAATCATACTTAAAAGTCCTTGTTTTTCTTAGCAAATTAACATTTAAGAAAACTTTTGCTATTGTTGTGACTAATTGTAAAGCATTAATTTTTCCTCAGGGTATTGAATTTTGACCTTAAAATTTTAATAATCTTTATATATAACCAACTTAATTATAATTCTTTCTTTAAGTTCAATTTTCTTAATGTTTTTCTACAATATACTAATTAATTTTTAACATTATTTTTATCTACTTCCATTTGGAACAATATTTTATCGTAAAAATCCAAAGGTATTTTTCTTTAACCTTCCCCTTTGCCAAAGAAACAACAAAAATCACATATTTATAACCTTTTGATCTCTATTTTCTTTACCTTGATTGTTGTTTTTATATATATAATTTCAGAAAACATTTAAATAAGATAATTTAAAATTAAAATCCAGGAGACTATATCTAAAACGTAGCAAACATATACGTGGCTTTTTAAATATCTAACAGACCTAAGTCTGTTGGAGTTGGAACCTCTTCCCTTAAAATTTCGGTTTTATTGTGAGACAAAAGAAGTTGGGACAATTTGACAACATCAGTTTACATGAGTGCTTACTTATAAGTCAATTTGATGCCAAGTAAAATATATATATTTAAACATAAGCTCATGTAGACAGTGTATCCATGAGTCACATATAAAAGATTTTTAGCAACTATGATCTTGTAATTAATTTTTGCTGAGAATATTTCTCCTGTAATTTTTATTATGAAAAGGAAACTTAGCAAAAGATCTTTAGAAAACATATATATGTATATCCATTTGTTTTATATGTAATCTAACTTCAATAAAATCTTACATTTAGTAGTTTCATGTTAAGAAATATTTTTGAGAGAGAAATGATTGCTACCTCTAACGATTACAAATTGAAATTATCTATATCTATATATTTAGAACCTATTGGGGAAGGAAATCCTAATCAAAATCTATGTATATAACATTAGATTTTATGGCTTACTGAAATATTTATCTTATAATTTTAATGAATGTCATTTAGTATAAACAATTAGCATTTAAAGGTTTTGTGGAACACTTAATAGACACAAAGACGTTGTTTAATAGGTGTTTTCTTTTTAGATGTTCAGAGTACTCAAGTTTATAATGTAGTATGTATTTATCAGGCCTTTTAATACATTAGCAGAATGAATTTATAAACCTGCACATGTGCATTTAATCTTGCATGCCAAAACAAAATAATGATAATAATTCTTGTGTACAAAGTAAAGAGGAAGGGAAAAAATGTAGTGGCCACAGTTTAAAAAATATTGTCTTGACACAAACAACACATGAAAATAGTTATCATACACATAACATAGTTACGTGAAATCCAGGTGCATCAAAGAGAGAGTGAGAGAAGGCAGGAAGCTTCTATCTGTAGTTCTTCAATACGTAAAAAAATTGCTCGGTGCACTAAAAGAAAGGGCGAAGTTTGCAATGCACACTTAAGGTAATATCGTCCTCTTTTTAAGAGCTAAATATCTGAAGGGTGTTATAAATAAAACTCGTTATCTAAGAACCCTATTGATACCTCACAAAGAACACGTGGACAAAGCAATAGTAACTTGGCAAAGCAGTTTTACTTTTGCATAAGGGTGCATTGCATGGTCAGTCAGATCCAGTTTAAGACTCTGCCCAAAGACAGGAATGCTAAAGATCTAAGCTGCCCCAGGCCATCAGAGTCGGGGATGCTTCACGTATGGTGCAAGGTGTGGTGGGATTAAAAGATCAGACTCTCTTGTCATAAACCAAGTTTTAAGCTTTGCAGGTTTTGAAGGAGAAGACTGATACCTCCTCTCTTTTCATGTACTCCAGAAAAGCCACATGTTGTATCTGACTCAGGTAGCAGACTATGGATGAGTCCATGAGATTTTTAAGTGGGTTTTTTGGCCTGAGAAATGGATGCAAAGGAACCCGAAGTGCTTAGCAGTGTAAATCATACAGATGACAGATGAGAAACTCACCAATGTTTCAAGATGAATCTTACCAGGAATGCCCAGAGACTTCAGAACTGAGTGAGACATAGCTGTCACATGGTCATCACTAGGAGCCTGAGGAGTTCTAAGCCATAGAGAACTCTACTTAAGCCAAACCAGCATTCCTGGCTTTAATTGCTGAAGGGACTTTTAAGAATAACTAGCATAATAAGACAATTTTAATGTAGACTTAGACAGGAGAGTTAAGGACAAAAAAGTTGCTCAAGGGAAGAGAAAATGAAATATATCCAAGTTTCCTGGAAGTTCTTTTGGGAACTTTCTTGCACATGTAGATGCCATGGAGTAGGCTAAGACAGCGCTGGGAATGAACACAGCGGAAATAAACACAGCAACACAGGTGAATCTCACAGCACAGCGCCGAGTGAAAGATGCCAGATGTAGACATCAATTTGCGCTATCCTGCCCGCCGTTGCCCTTTGTAGGGAAGTGACAGGAAGGCGTGTTTTGAGGGGGAGGGAGAGGTAGTTGTGAAGTAAGTTGGTCTGTGTGCTGCTTACAAGGGTGTTAAACTCATGAGAGTTCATATGTTATGAAACTGTCCTTATGATTTAAACACTTTTAGGTATATGTGTGCACTCTGTGGAAAGGTTACAAAGTTTAAATTTTGTTAAAATCATCTTGAAATAAAGGATCAAAACCCATTAGAATGGGAATCGAACTTTAATGGTCAGAGGAGGTTGAGGCTGAGGGCAGACAGGAGAAAGACGTGATGGGTTCCTTGCTTAGGCAGTGTACTAAGTGCGGTCCATCTGCCAACTCCTTGAATCTCTTTAACCTCTCTTTGAGGTAGGCAGACCACCTATTTTATATGTGACAAGACTGAGGATCAGAGCATACACGTTCCTTATCAAGGGCCACAGAGTACTACAAATCAAAAGTTGGGATTTAAACACAGGATGGAGCCAGGGGGCAGGAGGCAGTTGGCTCATCGGATCAGTTAAGAGCACTGACTACTCTTGCAGAGGACCCAGGTTGGGTTCCCAGCAGCCAGATGGTGCCTAACAACCATCCATAACTCCAGTTCCAGGGAAATCCCATGCTCTCTTCTGACCTCCACAGACATTGCACAACACGGATGTACTTACATTGCACGACACGGATGTACTTACATACATGCAGGCAATATACTCATACACATAAAGATCAAAAATAATAAATTTTGGGGTTGGAGAGATGGCTCAGCAGTTAAGAGCACTGATTGCTCTTGCAGAGGTCCCGGGTTCAATTCCCAGCACCCACATGGTGGCTACGAACCGTCCTTAACCCCAGTTCCAGGGGCCTCTGAAGCCCTCTCCTGACCTCCACAGCATTGAATGACATAGGTGCACTCACATACGTGCAGGCAATACACTCACACATAAAATTTAAAAACTAAACAAATATTTTAGACACAGGGTGGGGATCATTCTGAAACACATATTCTTTTTTTAATTGTTAAACTTTTTATTATTGAGCTTTTTCTAATTTCATACATTTCCCAATCAAATCCAGACCCCCTCCCCCATCCACACCTCTTCATCCCCTCACCCTTGCACTCTGCCTGAGATTCATCGGAGAGCTTAGCCAATCTCTCTCTCCTGCAGCATGGAGGGAATGTGGACTCAAACTTGCTCTCACAGCTGTGTCTCCAGGAACGCCTCATTCTCGGCCAGGCACAGTGGCATGCACTCTTAAATCCTGCACTTGAGAGGGCAATGCCAGAAGACTGCCACAAGTTCAAGTCCGCACTGAGTTACTGTCGAGTTCAGCATACGTGATGAGACCCTGTCTCAACAAACAAGCAGCAAAGCAAACAAACCAAAACCAACTCGAATGCACTATTCTCGCCAGTAAAATTCCCGTGAGAAAACAGCCAATGGAGGGCTTACCTTCTTGGAAGAGTTATCAGAGGGGCAGGACCTGGGGGAGCAAGAGGAGAGTTACCAATGCATGGAAACACAAAGCTCATGAGGCTTTCTGATTGCTGCCTGAAGAAGGTAACAGGTGGAGGTGGTTGGGTGCTGGGGGAGGTGGCCTACGGTTCGTTACGGAAGTAGCTTGGTGTCGGTGCTGTCTACACAGTGCTTGGTGCTGCCTCTCCTCTTTCCTCAGTCCTTCGTCTAAGCGCGATCCCTCCTAGCGTTTGCTCCTTCCTGGTTGCTGGATGTCTGTATTTGGTCTACTTTGTCCCCTGGTGCTAGTGATGACCCCCAGGTCAAGTGCTTCACTACTGAGCTGCATGTACGTATGTACGTATGTACTACTGAGTCACGGACGGCACAGTGCTCTAAGTCTACGATCATTCCACTGCTTCTGTAACTGTTCTACCTTAAAGCCTCTCCTGTTTGTTTCCCAAAGGCAGGTTCTGCTTATGTTTCTTCTCATCGTATTGTCCGAGAGGACCTGATGCCACCGCTGTACCTGGACTCCTCTCTTGCCCTGCCCCTCCTCCCGCGGTGGTCAGAGGGCATGAGACTTGCTTTCTCTTGCAGATACTAGGGTCCTCTCTCTTCTTTTTCTTTGTGGCCTGGCTTCCTGGCTGTGGAAGACCCTAACTGGATCCTTTTCTCTAAACTAGATAGGAACCGGCTCCCTCGGAGAGTAGCGTACAGGGAGCCCAGGCGAGGGAGGCGGAACCGTGGGAATTAGTGCTGAGAAGCAGAGCTCTGGGAAAGGTGGAGAGAGCCAGCCCCGAGGCGGAAGAAGTCCTCGCCCTCTCCCAAGCATGGCACTTAGACTCTAAGGAGGAAGAGGAAGGGCCGACCTACCTGCCAGTCTTCCTGCTGTACAGGAAATACCCCAGGCCTGCTATCAGGGCCACTCCAGCCCCAGCTCCAACCACGATACCGGCGATGGCTCCTCCTGAGAGGCCAGAACTTCCTTGCCCTGGGTCAGCTGTCATGGAAAGAAACAAGGAATGAAGGTGAGGCATTCTGCAGTGCGGTGTCCCGAAGGAGAACTCTAGCTTAGATTCCTCTGTTTGTTTCTTATGGGAATATGTTTTGTGCCGGCAGGTTGATTAGGTGAGTTGAATTATGACGTAATTATAAAGTTTATCCCAAGTTGATTTTCTGTCTTTCTTCGAATCCCTGAATCCCATCAGTTTCATCCTGTCAGTCATTTGAAGGCTTTGGAAATGAGAGAGACAGAGAGAGAGAGAGAGAGAGAGAGAGAGAGACAGAGAGAGAGAGAGAGACAGAGAGAGAGAGAGACAGAGAGAGAGAGAGAGACAGAGAGGCTGGAGAGATGGC